ATTATAACGAATCATAAATGAAGGGGTTACAATAAAGGATCATTCTATCAAAATATGATTTTAATGTTTGTGATTGATTGTAAAGGATTTATTATACACCTTCACTACATTGAAAACTACATTTTTTTAAAAAGAGCGAGAATAGACGGACCAGAGATGTTTAGTTAGGACAAAACCATTTTAATAATTGAGGGCAAATTTATTATCCGTTTACGAAAACGGCGCTCCATCATACTAAACCTGCAACACAGTCAGGTCCGGCGAAACTGTATCGCAATTATGTCAGGCGCGAACGACGAGCCATGCTCAGAAAAATTATATTAAACTCATTTTAAATTATTTTGAGGGACATGCAAAAATTTTAACTTATGGCATAGTGCCCAGGCTATTTAAACTGTTGTCATTTTATGAATTTTGATGTTAAAAATTCTTTCTGTATTAAACCTCTGTCCTACTAATCCACATGATATTACAAAAAATCAAGATTATACAGCAGAGGAACAATTGTTTCCTAGTTATTACCAAAGAAATGGTTAAAATACAAAAAAAATTTTACGTGGTCATAATCGTTTAAATAAATGGCATTTTTATCGCTAGAGTTAGACAAGATGAACCAAGGTGATTAAGTAAAAACTCGACCCCCAATAAATACATTTATATTAATTTTAATGCATTTTTAAAAATTTATTGGTAATCGCTGTTTATAAAAAATATGTTGTTTAGGTAGCTATTTTCGCTCATCCAACAAGTGAAGAGTCGTTGAGGCGTCATCGATTGTCGATCCGTTTGGTTCGAGCTCTTCATCACAGAATACCAATAAAAAAATTAATTACAAGTTTATTTATTATAAATGGAATGTAAAATAGATAAAAACCATTTTATTAATTAAGGGCAAATTTGTTATCCGTATACGAAAACGGGGCTCCGACATACTAAACCTGTAACACAGTCAGGTCCGGCGAAACTGTATCGCCATTATTTCAGGCGCGGACGACGAGCATTATCAGAAAATTTATATTAAAATCATTTTAAATTATTTTGAGAGACATGCAAAAATTTTAACTTATGGCATAGTGCCCACGTTTTTTAAACTGTTGTCATTTTATGAACATTGATTTTAAAAATTCTTTCTGTATTTATTTCTCGCTTTCTGTTTGCGTTTTTTCGCATCCACTTATCATTTCCCAGGCAGGTTTTGATTACAGTCTGCCACAAAATTATTTCTGCCAGTGAAAATACAGCCATCAACATTTGCTGGTGATGTAAAAGTAGTACCTTCAACGTACGAAATCAGTTATATTGTTCGAAGTTGCATTAACAGTAGTCTCTCTAATAACAAATTTCTATGTATTTGTGAAGTGATTAGTGACCGTTAGTGGTTGATTGTTCGGAAATCGTGTGATGTAGGTTTCAGAAAAACATTTCCTTTAACGTGCCAACGTTTCGATCTTTATTGAGATCATCTTCAGAGCCTGGGATTTACAAACATTGTTTAAATTTAACAAATACGTGTAGGATTTGGTCAAATCATCTCATATGATTAGACAATCTAGTCATTAACCTAAGCATAAAGAATTATTCAATTAATTTACGAGAATCTGCTAGTGGATAACTTTAATTTGACATTTCCGATGTTGAAGTATCAGAAAAATCCCAGAAAAAAAAGATTTTCCTATAATTCCTTTCCCCTTTAGAAAAGAAACTCTGAAATAAAAAGAATAAAAACTATATCGATCTGTCGTCTGAATGTGTTTCGATTAACTTTGAAGTAAACTGGATGTTTTGTTTTTCCCAATGCGTAATTTGTTTTTTGTTAAATTTCAAAATTGATCGACGTCATTATATTGTTCAAAATGAACCTTCTTTTGATATTTTCCCATTATATATGTAGGCAAATATTTTTATAACATTAGAAAATAAAAAAGAAACTGACGGAATTAATTAAGGGGAAACTACCCAAAAGAAGGTTCATTTTGAACAAGACAATGACGTCGATCAATTTTGAAATTTAATAAAAAACAGATAACACATTGGGCAAAACAACATATCCAATGTACTTTAAAATTAAAGAGAGAGAGTGAGAGAGAGAGAGAAAGTGAGAGGGAGAGCCAATATCTCTCGGCCATAAATATTTTTTTGATGTATAGATCATTGTATGTGAATTGTGTTATTTGTTGGCACAAATGTATTTATTAGCATGAATGGCGGGGTTTATCCCCAATTAACCCGAGAAATATCGAGTATGTGTATGCTCTCTACTCATAACCACTCTGGTATAGTGCATCAGTTTGGATATTAATTAAAATAAACATATGTCAATATCATTGCATTTAATATGCATATAATTTAATACACGGATGCGACAATATTATTTCAAATTGAATCAGGTCATGCGTAGGCTCGTTAAGTTATGACAGTTAGGATAGCTGAGCCGTTTAAGCATTTATTGAAGCCGATTCTACGGTCCTGTTAACTCTTTGGTTTTCTCTCCGTTATGAGGACAAAAGTGGGGCGACGCGGTTTGTTTGCTCACTCCGTTTACATTAAACGACAAACTAAATGCCCATACGCGAGGCTTTGTCCCAGTAACAATCATCAGAATTTATGAACACTTATTTACCTATGAAATTGAATTACGATTCCACGGGGTGTTCGTGGCGTCCCGATAATTATTGTTTTTAATTTGTTGTTAATTAAGCCCCTTCTTAAACCACCGTGCGGAAAGACAATATCATTTTTGGAGGGAGTAGGTTGGTAACTAACTATGTTTCAGATAATTTCCAATTCAAGTCATTTTCTTTTATTCTTTATTGAAAGGTTTCTGGGTTGGGAAACTTTAGCTTTCTTTTCTTGTTTTTAGCTTTCTTAGGATCTGACTAATAAAAGAGGTACCATTCTCACGCGATAAGCCATGCGAGGTTTCTTATTTTTGGGACAAAGTGCGCATATGTGTCCGGCATGTAGAGAAAGATTGCTCGATGTGTCCCAACTAATCGAAGGGCGGAATTATAGTTATATTATATTTATTAATTAATAATTATATATAGAGAGCGTGCAGGAATGCCACTCGAAATAGAGTTTTTTCTAGTAAATAAATAGTAATAATAATTTTTCTTTTTCTAGGGTGTATTGAAAAAGAATGTATTTACTAGCGTGACTTGTAGGGTGAGAGTGTCGATGGCGGAATATTGCCTCTCAATTAGGTGGTTACATAATAGGTGTAGATGATGGAGGAATATCGAGAACTATACCATCCTTTCTGAGTTTTCTGGAACAGATTTCTGGAGGAAACTGGAGTAATTCTGTTTATGTAGATCTTTTCTTTATTGCAGATAATTCTATTGTTGCATATATATTCGCTAGTTTTCGTGGTTCGCTTGACCAATTCATATCTTTCAATTAATTAAGGTTTTAATTGATATAAAAAGTCAGTGTCACGAGCGAGATTCGAACCCACGATCTTCGGCTAGATACGCCGCTGCTCTACCACTTGAGCTGTCGTGACATCGATCCACTCGGACACTAACGTCCCAGCTCAACCCCACCTTTTGAATTTTCCCTCCTTTTCGCCATTTTTCAAATGTCCTGTAATCTATTTGATTCCCGCGCGACAAATGAAATGGCCACGGGGAGGTTTAGTGATGGTATACTTCATTTTAACTTATTAAAATTTCCTAGTTTTCGTGGTCCGCTTGACCAATTAATATCTTTCAATTAATTAAGGTTTTTTTAATTGAGATAAAAAAAGTCACATTCAAATTCAAAAGGTGGGGTTAAGATGGGAAGTTAGTGTCCGAGTGGATCGAAGGTCGTGGGTTCGAATCCCGCTCATGACACTGACTTTTTATCTCAATTAAAAACCGTAATTAATTGAAAGTTGTATAAATACTAAATTTGGCGATAGATGTTTTAAGTGCTTCGTGAGAATATTTATACGCATGAAAGAGTTGTAGAATAAAAATATCGCACATCAATCGAACAATATTTTAAGGATGGTTGTCTACATATGTGATAAAGAGTGATAGTGGAATATCTAGTATTCCATAAATAAATGGTATTTAAATAGGAAAGAATGTATTTAAGAATGATTGAAAATGAATGGGTGTGGATTTGGAGATTGATTGCGTTGGGGGGACCAACTCGACCTGAAGCCCAGCCTCAACTCCTGGACGGATGAGACCGATGTCTGACCCCGGACTGCTAGCACCCGGGATGGGTGACTCTCGAGGCATGCTGGTAATTCTTTGTAACGTACATAGGCTGGAAGTGACAGGTTCTGTAGCATCTATACATGGGCCGTATTTTCCTCTTGAATAAATCCCCTTTTCGCAATTCCTGTAACCGTAATTTGAACTTTTTCGAAAGAAAATAATAGAATAACAGATAGTTTTTACGAAAGAAAAGATTGTATGCGGCAAGTCGTACTTTTCTCCTATTGAGTAGGTTAAATATAACTCGACCACCTTTCAACACGTCTAATTTATATATGAGCGAAAAATTAATCTCTTTTTTGTTAATAATTCAAGTCATGGTACATTATAAAGTAAAGATTATAGTGGAAATAATGAACTAATAATAACAACGCGATAAATCTATCCCTGTACTTTTGTATAAAGAGGGGATTTGATTTCACCAAGGATTTTGTGTGCAGATTAAGTGTTCCCGAAGACAAAACTAGTTTGTTTTAATGCTGCGTTGAATCTAAATTAGAGATGTGATCCCACAAGGGTGTAATTGTTGAGTAATGCCCAATTCTAGGGACGAAACAAGAGATGTGGCTGTAATCTTTTCGCCTTATTCACGGCTTTTTCTTCCACCTGGTCGCTGGGATTATCTCGCTAATAGCCAGCAATCTTCATCATTCAAGTCGGTCCATTTTTTCTCAAACGGTTTTTCTTTTTCTCCAAAAACAGGAATAAAATAACATTGAATTGATAAATTGACTGTTATATTGTTTATGTAAGAAAATATTTAAATTACTTTTTCTTCTTTTTTTTCAGATACGACTATGAAGTCCTCCTTCATAATTCAACGCTGTGTTTGGTTCCGAGAGGTAGACGCCTTGGCTCTTTCAGGTTTTTGGAAGCTCTCCAGGCAGGTTGTATTCCTGTTTTGCTGTCAAACGGATGGGCCTTGCCGTTCTCTCAGGTGATAGACTGGAAGAAAGCAGTCATCTGGGCAGACGAAAGGCTTCTTCTTCAGGTAACTAATAACGATCTCTAAAAGAGAAATGTTGACATAGAATACTCAATTACCTCTAAGTATTGTTTTCCTTCTCCCCGTAATAAATCCTGACAAGCCAACAATTATTGTTTGCAGTTTCCTCTTCTAATAAAGGTACACAAATTGTTGTCGAATTTTCTAAATCTGAAAAATACATAGTAGATTTCTATTTTTGAATATTGAAGGGTTCGACTCTAGAGGTATTGATGTTGTTTAATTTTAAGGACAGTTTCGGCATATTACTTTGGGAATGAATTACAACATTCACGCAGATAAATTACTTCCATTAACTTTACCATAGAGTATTCGATATTCCTTGGATTAATTGAGGATAAGCCTTTCATCCACGCTAATAAATTACATCCATTCACACTACCACATAGTGCTCGATATTCCTTGGGGTAATTGAAGATAAACTCCGTCATTCACGCTGATAAATTACATTCATTCACTTTACCATTGAGTACTCGATATTTCTTGGGATAATTGGGGATAAGGCCTTCATTCACCCTAATAATTCACGTAATTTACTAATAATTTAGACCGCATCTCACGATTTCTGAATAACTAATCATTTACATCCATTCATTTTACCAGAGAGTCGATATTCCTTGGAGCAATTGGGGATAAGCTTTTCATTCACGCTAATAAATTACATCCATTTACTTTACCAGAGAGTCGATATTCCTTGTAGTAATTGGGGATAAGCCCTTCATTCACGCTAATCAATTACATCCATTCACCTTACTAGAGAGTTCTTGATTTTGCCTTGAAGTAATTGGGGATAAGCTTTTCATTCACGCTAATAAATTACATCCATTTACTTTACCAAAGAGTCGATATTCCTTGGAGTAATTGGGGATAAGCCGTTCATTCACGCTAATAAATTACATCCATTCACTTTACCAGAGAGTCCATATTCCTTGTAGTAATTGGGGATAAGCCCTTCATTCACGCTAATAAATTACATCCATTCACTTTATCATAGAGTACTAGATATTCCTCGGGGTAATTGAGGATAAATTCCGTCATTCACGCTGATAAATAACTTTCACACATTCATTCACTTTACCAGAGAGTCGACATTCCTTGGAGTAATTGGGGATAAGCCTATCATTCGCGCTAATAAATTACATCCATTCACTTTAGCAAAGAGTCGATAGTCCTTGGAGTAATTGGGGATAAGCCTTTCATTCACGCTAATAAATTACATCCATTCACTTTACTAGAGAGTACTTGATTTTGCCTTGGAGAAATTGGGGCGAAGCTTTTCATTCACGCTAATAAATTGCATCCATTCAATTTACCAGAGAGTACTTGATTTTTCATTGGAGTAATTGGGGATAAGCCCTTCATCCACACTAATAAATTACATCCATTCACACTACCACATAGTGCTCGATATTCCTTGGGGTAATTGAAGATAAACTCCATCATTCACGCTGATAAATTACATTTATTCACTTTACCATTGAGTACTCGATATTTCTTCGGATAATTCGGGATAAGCCCTTCATTCACGCTAATAAATTACATCCTTTCACTTTACTCGATATTTCTTGATGTAATTGGATATAAATTCCATTCATCCACATCACCTTTTAAATAACAATATTTTCCCCCTTTCTATTATACATATTAAATTAACATAATAAATTTTGGTTTGACATTTATAAACTATTTTAAAGAAGTCGGATTTTATATTTTTTCTTGCATGCAGCTAAGGCCTGCAATGTTTAAATGTTAGTTGTATACAACAAAAATATTTGTTAACCAAGCATGAATATAACCTTGTGATGTTAATAAAATTATTTATTCAAATTGTAAATGTCGTGTTATAATTATTAAAATTCGATGGAAAAGAAAACATTCCAAGTTATTTGGCACTCATTGGTATTTCTCGACGGTTCACCAGGCAGTTGATTTACATTTGCCCGGGGTAAATTGGCGGCCACATTCCGTGGGTCCGCCCGGCAGAAAAGGGAAATCTAAGGTAGAAAGTAAATAAGTAAATGCAAAGGGCTACCGTCTCACTTGGTCCGTGTATATCCTCCTTCCCATCACCCGAGCCTACTTGTATGATAATTCTAGCTCATTATGCCTCTCCCTCTCATGCCAGTTCTTCAACGACTTCCCCCAAATTCCATTTATCATGACGTAAGGGCCACAGTTTTTTTCTTCCTTTTATGGACTGTGCCCTCTTGATCAAATTAATCGTCTTTCTTTATTTTATTTAACGAATGGTGACGTTCTTTGCCTTTTTATATACGGAAATGTGAAAAATTTGATCTTATGTCTTTTTTTATCAAGAGAGCTTGCCTTTAATGTTAGCTCTATTAGGTTTCGTGGTCCGATTGACCAAATAAATTATTTTCAATTAATTAATCTAATTAAGGCATTTGCACTGATAAAAAAGTCAGTGACGCGAGCTGGATTCGAACCCAGTATCTTCGGCTAAATACGCCGCTGCTCTACCACTTGAACTATGACTTCCTCAAAATTAGGTTTTTATAATGTAACAGAAATATTATTTTAAATATATACACTCTAGGCTGTCCTGTATCTGATTTTATCCAAAACAAAAGCTAAATTAGGCCAATTTTGGGGTATTTTGTCTTGAGAAACATAATTCCATTCTTCAGCAAGAGCGGTTTGAAGCTGTTCGACGTTTGGTGGAGGCGGCGATGGATGTCTAGGCCTTTTCTTTATCATGTTTCATAAGTATTCTATGGGATTCATGTCAGAAGATCGTACTGGACAAATCGTTGTGGCAATCCCTACGTCCTCCAAACAATGGGTGACAACTTGAGCTAAATGAGGTTTTATCACATTAAAACGAATAAATCGAGCGAATGATACCCCAGCTAATCGGAAGAACATCTTTAATGTTTGTGATTGATTGCAAAGGATTTATTATACACCTTCACTATATTGAAAACTACATTTTTTTAAAAAAAGAGCGAGAATAGACGGACCAAAGATGTTTAGTTAGGACAAAACCATTTTATTAATTAAGGGCAAATTTGTTATCCGTATACGAAAACGGCGCCCGGACATACTAAACCTGCAACACAGTCAAGTCCGGCGAAACTGTATCGCAATTATTTCAGGCGCGAACGAGGAGCCAAGATCAGAAAATTTATATTAAAATAATTTTTAATTATTTTGAGGGGTAGTAAATTTTTAATTTATGGCGTATAGCCCAGGTTTTTTGAACTTTTGTCATTTTATGAATTTTGTTATTTAAAATTATTTCAGTATTTATTTCTCGCTTTCTGTTTGCGTTTTTCCCCCATCGACTTATCATTTGCCAGGCAGGTTTTGATTACACTCTGCCACAAAAATATTTCTGCTAGTGAAAATACAGCCATCAACATTTGCTGGCGATGTAAACGTAGTACCTTCAACGAACGAAATCAGTTATATTGTTAGGGGTTTCATTAACAATAGACTCTCTAATAACAAATGTGGATATATTAGTTAAAACATATTTATATGTTTTTCTTTTTTAGAGAGTAATAGGCATAAAGAATGATTCAATCCGTTTATGTCACACGGTCCCGGTCATCTGATTGCCATGAACCAAACCGGCATTCAACTGCGAACAGAACATCCTCCAATTTCTCAAGTATCCAAGCGAGATGCTGATTGCGAATAGACCTTTCTACTCGATGCCTCTCCAGTCCTAGAGAGAGACTAAGGTCTTACGATTCTGATGACTGTTTTAGAGCTGAGAACGAGACTTCCGGTAGCCCTAAATCGCTGTAGACCATCGTGGATGTTATAGCGCGCTACACCCAGGATTTTGGCTATGTAACGGACAGTCCATAGTTGGCCCAAGCATCTTCCCGGCGAGATCTTTTAAAAATTAATCATTAATTTTTTATTCCAATTTATAGTATCAACGCAAGAGAATAATTACCAAAAAACTAATAAATTAACTCAAAATTTGGCTCTGGCAAGGATGAAATTGAACTGATTTTCTTTATTTTTAGTCCAAAGAGTTTAAAAGGACTAGTAACACTCTATAAAGGTAAACAACAAGTTATAATGTTGTGTTTTAATTTTACATTTTATATCAAATCGATCGTAAAATTAATTCAATTGAACATTGTATGGTTTGAAGTGGTGTTTTTTATTGTTGTTTTATTTTATCGCTTTTTTATCATAGTACTTTTTATATATGATTCTTATTAGATAGTTATTATCATGGTTATAATTGAACGTATTAATTATTTCTGTTAATTATTCATTTTATTGAAGGTCTTGGTTGAGATAAAATTAATTTCTATGTTTGCTTATCGTTCTACATAATTTTTTTTCAATTAACGAAGGTTTTTAGTTAAGATAAAAAAGTCAGTGACACGAGCGGGATTCGAACCCACGACCTTGGCTAGATACGCCGCTGCTCTACCACTTGAGCTATCGTGACTTCGATCCACTCGGACACTAACTTCCCATCTTAACCCCACCTTTTGAATTTGAATGGGACTTTTTTATCTCAATTTAAAAAAACCTTAATTAATTGAATGATATTAGTTGATCAAGCGGACAGCGAAAAGTAGTGAATTTAATAAGTTAAAATTAAGTATACTTGACTAACGAGATCGTGGGTAAGTTAGATAGTAAGTAAGATTAGTGGGGAAGTTAGTGTCCGAGTGGATCGAGGTCACGATAGCTCAATTGGTATAGCAGCGGCGTATCTAGCCAAGGTCGTGGTTCGAATCCCGCTCGTGACACTGACTTTTTATCTCAACTAAAAACCTTAATTAATTGAAAGATATTAATTGGTCAAGCGAACCACGAAAACTAGTGAAGTTCTACATAATATAATCTTACTTCTTTCCTCAAGTACAGATAAACTTATACTGTACTTGAAAAAAATATGTAAAGAATATCGTCTTTTACTATCTAAATGATTGCCGGGCTATACAAATAAATTGTCTAGGCTTTTAAAACGCACTAAAATCAGAAAATAT